AGTTCCAAAGCTGTTTCCAGGTCCAAAGGTGTTTCCACATCTTCAAGTATCTTTATAGCAACACCCCACTCTCAGTACCAATTTTCTGTATTAGTACATTTTGCATTGTTATAAGAAATAAATGAGACTCAGTAATTTATAAAGAAAAGAGGACTATTTTGGATCATAGATCTTCAGATTTTATAGGAAGTATGAGGCCACCATCTACTTCTGGTGAAAGCATCAGGAGGCTTTCATTCATGGTGGAAAGTGAAGGGCGAACAGGCATGTCACATGGTCAGGAGAGGGAGCAAAAGAGAGAGGGAAGAGGTGCCAGGCTCTTTTAAACAACCAGATCTCACGTGAACTCATGGAGTGAGAACTCACTCATTACCACAAGGGCAGCACCAAGCCATTCATGAAGAATCTGCTCCCATGACCCAAATACCTCCCACTAGGCCCCACCTCCAACATTGGGGATCACACTTTAACATGAGATTTGGAAGAGACACACACCCAAATCATATCAAAATTTATTTCTTAAGCTTCTACTAAAATAATGTAGGAGAAGAAAATATAAATACCAAGTAAATGAGCAAGAAGATATCAGATTATAAATTGCTTTTACTTATATCATCTGTATTTATCTTTAAGAAACTTTGGAATTTTTTCTTCAGCTTTTATTTTAGCTTTAGCGGCACATGTGTAGGTTTGTTACGTAGGTATATTGTGTGACACTGAGGTTTGGCGTATGAATTCCATCACCCAGGTGTTGAGCTTAGTATCCAATAGGAAGTTTTTCAATCCACATTCATTTTCCTCCTTCCGCCCTCTAGCGGTCCCTAGTGTGTATTGTTGCCATCTTTATGTCCATGTGTACTCAGTGTTTAGCTCCCACTAATAAGTGAGAACATGTGATATTTGGTTTCTTGTTCTTGCATGAATTTGCTTAGAATAATGGCCTCTAGCTGCATCCATATGCTGTAAAGGACATAATTTTGTTCGTTTTTATGGCTGTATGGTATTCTATGGTGTATATGTACTACATTTTCTTTATCCAATCCAACATTGATAGGGATCTAGGTTGACTCTATGTCTTTGCTATTGTGAATAGTGCTGCAATAAACATACAAGTGCGTATATCTTTTTTTTTTTTTTTGAGTTGGAGTTTCGCTTTTATTATCCAGGCTGGAGTGCAATGGCACGATCTCGGCCCACCACAACCTCCACCTCCTGGGTTCAAGCAAATCTCCTACCTCAGCCTCCCGAGTAGCTGGGACTACAGGCATGCGCCATTATGCCCAGCTAATTTTTGTATTTTCTAGTAGAGACGGGGTTTCACCATGTTGACCAGGATGGTCTGGATCTCGACCTCGTGATCCACCCGCCTTGGCCTCCCAAAGTGCTGGGATTCTAGGCGTGAACCACTGGCATGTGTCTTTTTTGATTGAAGAATTTCTTTTCTTTTGGTTATGTACCCAGTAATGGGATATAGCTCTGTTTTAAGTTCATTGAGAAATCTTCAAACTGCTTTCCATGGTCGTTGAATTAATTTGTATTTCAACAACAGTGTATAAGTGTTCCCTTTTCTCTACAGCCTTGCCAGCATCAGTTATTTGTTGACTTTTAAATAATAGCCATTCTGACTGGTGTGAGATTGTATCTTATTGTTGTTTTGATTTGCATTTCTCTGATGATTAATGATGATGAATATTTTTTCATATTCGTTGGCTGGCTGCTTGTATGTCTTCTTTTGAAAAGTGTTTGCTCATGTCCTTTGCCCATTTTTTAATAGGGTTATTTGTTTTTTGCTTGTTGATTTAAGTTCCTTATAGATATGGAATATTAGACCTTTGTTGGATGAATAGCTTGCGAACATTTTTTCCATTCTGTAGGTTATCCATTTACTCTGTTGATAGCTTCTTTTGCTGTGCAGAAGCTCTTTAGTTTGATTAGGTTACACTTGTTAATTTTTGTTTTTATAAACTGGAATTTTTAACTTCATTTGACAGATGAGAAAACTGAGACTTAAAGAGACAATTTTTTTTTAAGATCATAAAATTGGTAGGTGGTGAAGCTGGATCTCAATAAGTCTTTTTAAAAATTTAAATCACAACTTTATCTATCTATATAATTGGTCAGTCCCTGTGCTTGATGTGAAATATACAACTGTAAATAAGATGTAATTTCTGTCTTCTAGCACCTTACTGCTTAATGGAAAATAGAAGGGTTTAAAATTTATTTTAATGCAATGTGATAAGCTCTATGCTGATGATAGGTTCAGAAGGTGATGCTAATCCCAAGATCAGGTAGGATTTTGTCAGGCAAATATCAGGACAGCATTTAAGTGGAAGAAATTGTATAAGCAATGACATGGAGGCTAGGAAGTTGTCCAGTTAAGTTGGAGTCTAGGGGCATTGTTGGAAACTGAGTTGGAAATGTACATTGAAGCCATATCATGGAGGGCTTCTATGAGCATTCAACCAACGCTTAGTTATTGGACATATATCATGACGAGCTACTGTCTGAAATGCATAGAGTACAGCAGCAAACAAGACAAACCAAATCCTTGTTCTTATGGGCCTTACATTATAGCAGGGAGAAAAAGACAATAAATGAGCAACGTAAAAACAAGGTATCAAATATGAAAAGTATTAAGAACATTGGCAACACAAATGAGGAGTATGTGATAGAGAGTGATTAGGGGGATACTCTTAGAAGAAATCCCAGAGAAATCTTCTCTCACGAGGCAACTTTTAAACTGAGACCTGAATGAAATAAGGATCGAGACATACCAAGATTGAGAAAAAGACTATTGTGATTAAAAAATACAGTCTGGTTCAAAGATTTCCAGGTAGGGATCAGCTTGTCCTGCTAGAATCATGGAAAGAAGGCCAGAGTGATTAGAAAATGGTGATGCAGAGGAGAATGGTGAAAGATGAGGCTTTTCAGGGCCTTATCCTGTAGGAAGGTCCTGACAATGAAGTTAGATTTTATTCTCGGTATGGAGAGAAACTACTGGGAATTTAAAGTAGGGAGTGGCACAATGTTGTCTACCTTTTTAAAAGGGATGGGGAGTCCCATCAGGAAGCTGTATTCTAGGAGAGGCGGTGGCCTGGACTGGAATGATAGGAGTAGAGATGAAAAGAATCGTGAATTTGGGATATTTTGTATTTTTAGATAGATAAAAAGGACTTGCAGGTAGATGGTACACTGAATGTTGAGCAGCTTCCAGATTTTGAGTTCTTTCATTCTTATTCTCCACCTTCTGATTTAGTTTGTAAGGAGAGTCTAAGTCATACAGAAGATTTGTGAAGGAGACTCATCTTACACATGAACAAATATGTCATTTAAACGTAAGCCAACATATGGGTGTTGTCATTGATCGTGAGGCCCAGGACAAGCCATGCCCTTTGCATTTCTCTCTCCCCCAGGATCACAGTCCTAGCTTAGACGCCTTTCCTCTGTGAAAGACTTTCTCAGTTCTTCTAGGTATAGCTACTTACTCCCCTCTTGGTGTCATAACAGTGATTTGCTTGTACTTATGACATTGTGTCTTGCATAATGGTTGTTTGCTGTATATATTTGTCTTACTATATTTTTATTTCCTTCAGGAAAGCAGCTATTGTTATGAGTTATTATATACTTCCTATAGTAAATACAATCCAATGGCCCTCAGCATCCATTCCTATCTCCTACTATATTTCCTAGACCTCTTTGCAGCTAGCGTTCTAGATGTGAATTAATGTTTTTTCAATTAGTCATATTTGCATGACATTTGGAAGGTGAAAGTGAGTTAGAGACCATCATACAGAGATTTTGCCTTTTTTTTTTTTTGACAAATAATGTTATAGAGACATGTTGATAGGCAATTTTGGCAGCAATGCCAGAAGCTTCTGAATCACATGTTTCTGATTTTTGGATCGCAACTCTGGTGATGCATTGAACTCAATACTCCCAGGGATTGATTTCTAATTTCTAATAATTCAGCTCTTATTGTTCTAGGCAGTAAATTCCTTATTGTTGAAAAGACCTAAAAAGGTTACTGTTTCATTCATTGAGCCATAACTAAACAAATTCATTCATTCAGTCTCTCTTGTTTGTCCTTGTGGTTTATATACAGTAGATGCCCAATTAATATCCAGTTGAATTTATTCCAAAGTCAGACTTATTTCTTCCATCTGTCCACTTATTCAAAAACAATGAGTACCACTAGACATCACTGACTATAGTAAGTGCTGAGCAGTACAAGGTTGAATAAGACGTGGTCTTATTCCCAGTTTTGCAGGAGAGAGAATTACCATAGAGTGTGGACCAAATGATGTAACAGAAGTGAGTGTGAACTTAGAGAAAGCAGAGTCTAGAGTGTCCAGAAAGTCTGCTTAGAATAGGTGATGTTTTAGCTGGGACCCAGAGAATGCCTAGGTTTTTGCCAGGCAGAAAATAGCAGGGCGGCAATCCATGCTGATGAGATGGTATATTCAAAGGTATGAATTCATGAAAAAGCAAGTGTACTAAGAAAAGGCTAAGTCCTCGGTGTGGCTGGAGCATTGGATGCTTCTGGAAGGGGCCTTTCATGAGACTAGGCTGGGCAGGTCATCTGATCAGATAGTGAAGCCTATGTGCCACAATGAGGAATGTGAATTTTTTTCTCAAGTCACTGGGGAGCCACTGAGGAGAAGGGCCATTAAGGCAGTAGAGATGGAGACATGAGAAGAGACTCAAAAGTTATGGGGTTATAGAGTTGAGAAGACTCAATGACAATTTGAATATGGTGGTGAGTGAGTGGTAAAGGTAAAATGTGACTCAGTAGGGGAGAAGGAGCTAAAAATTATATTTAGATAAGTTTCATTTTGACTGTTTGTTATTTGTTCTGTACTGAGTCTTATTTTTTTCCTGTGCCCAGGAACTCAGGGAACAAAGACATTTTAGAAGTCAAGAAATAATGTCTTAGTTTTGGAAAATGGCTCAAAAGTGAACATAGCACAGCCCCTCAGTGAAGAAAGAAAGGAGCCATCAAAGTCATTGCTCATCAATTGTTTATTGGATATTTAAATACAATTCCATAGTCTGCACATAGATTACCTTGAAAGAGTTTTCAGGTCTTAGGAGCTATGGATTGACAGTTTTGGTGCCCTGGAATTTGCAAACATATGACATATTCTTTCTATTTTATATAATCAGAAACTATAAAGGCATTGAGTTGGAATGAGTCTAGTCAGCTCTAGTGGTAGGCACTAATGGACAGTCCCTCTGGTATGGAATGACAGCCTGGAATGGGAGATGTAGTCAAGATCAGCGATGCACTCTGTGTTTCTGGCTCTCCTAGCAGCCTCACGCTGAGTTTCATTCTAGTCTAGACTATGAAGCTTGAAATTCCTTATGTTTTATCTATAGCAGCCAAAGCTCACCAAAACCTGGGTTTCCTCTCCTCAGTTGTAATGTAAATCTTCAGAATATCTTTTCTGTTTCTGAACTTTAGGGAGAAGTGTTCTGCCTTTCAGTGATTCAATCAGGTCTCAACTACACAGAGGGCAAACCAGGACATTATTTAAATACCCAAATGATCATCATTAAGATATGGTTATCTCACCCAACTTACCACCTAGATTTTGCTGTATCAGAAAACCCTAGAATTGCTGCCCAAATAACTGAAAAGCCCTCAAGTGAGTACTAGTCCTCAAAAACATCCTTGCAGGTAGATACAGGAGAGAAGAGAGGGAAGAAATACATTATCAACCTCTTAAATAGAATTAAAGATGAACTCAACATATAGGTTTCTTCTTTGGCTTGTGTTGCTTTATCTCTGGTGCTCACATAGACTAGTACCGATAGGATTTCTGCTCTTGCACATAGTCATAGAGAGGGTTGGGAGCAGTAGCTGCCTTGGAAGGGTGACCACAGTGTTCTCTGCTTTGGGGCTTCCCACTGCTCTGGGTTGGATAGAAGGACGGCTCAGAGTGTCTTCCCTGTAAGCCCTGGCTCTGGTCATCTTCATTCATGTAGAATTTTTCTCTGTTAGGACAGCTTCTCTGGGTCACTTGAGATTTTCGATTCTGAGATCCTTGATAGCTCTCTTTCTTCTCATAGTTTTGTCTATTCTGTTGTTGCTGATGGTTTTGATCCTCTTCCTTGGTTTGCCTGTCTCGTTTCTGATGGTTCTGCTCATCTTCGTGGGTTTGCCTGTCTCGTCTCTGACGGTTCTGCTCATCTTCGTGGGTTTGCCTGTCTCGTCTCTGACGGTTCTGCTCATCTTCGTGGGTTTGTTTGTCTCGTCTCTGATGGTGCTGCTCATCTTCATGGGTTTGCCTGTCTCGTCTCTGATGGTTCTGCTCATCTTCCTTGGTTTGCCTGTCTCGTCTCTGATGGTTCTGCTCATCTTCGTGGGTTTGCCTGTCTCGTCTCTGATGGTTCTGCTCATCTTCGTGGGTTTGCCTGTCTCGTCTCTGATGGTGCTGCTCATCTTCGTGGGTTTGCCTGTCTTGTCTCTGACGGTTCTGCTCTTCATGGGTTCGCCTGTCCTGTGTTCTACATGGACCTTCCTGACCCTCATGGTTGTGTATATCCCAGTTTTGAGGAACCTGCTCTTTCTCTGCCCAGTGGCTCTGCCCCTCACCATGACTCTGCCTGGTCTGGGCCTGTCTGTGGCCCTGCTCACTACTGCATGATTGCCGGTCTCTCCCTCTGTGACAAAGTGGTCTTTCTTGTTGGATGTGTGCTAAGAGTTTGTATTGGTGGTGTGGACTGCCCTCTTCAGGCTCCCATACCTGGTGGCCAATCTGCTGTGGGTCCCTAGACTGGAATCCTTGTACCTGCTTTTGGTACACTTCCTGTCCTAGAGTCTGTTGACTTAGCCTCCCTGATCTTCCTGATTGCTCAACATAAGAGGTTTGTCTTGTTCCATCAGTCCCTTGGAAGTACTTATTTTGCTCTTGTATTTCCCCAATCTGTGACTGACCATACTGGGAACTCTGGCCTTGTCTGTGTGCCTGACCATAATGATAACTCTGGCCTTGTCTGTCCGTCTGTCCGTAGTGGGAACTCTGGCCTTGTCTGTCCGTCTGTCCATAGTGGGAACTCTGGCCTTGTCTGTCCGTCTGTCCGTAGTGTGAACTCTGGCCTTGTCTGTCCGTCTGGCTGTAGTGGGAACTCTGGCCTTGTCTGTCTGTCTGGCCGTAGTGGGAACTTTGGCCTTGTCTGTCTGGCTGACCATAATGATAACTCTGGTCTTGTCTATCTGTCTGACCACCGTTGGAACTCTGGCCTTGTCTGTCCATCTGACTGTAGTGGGAACTCTGGCCTTGTCTGTCCATCTGACCAGAATGGGAACTCTGGCCTTGTATGTCTGAATAACCATAGTGGGAATTCTGGTCCTGTCTGTCTGCCTGACCATAATGATAAATCTGGCCTTGTCTGTCTGTCTGCCCATAGTGGGAACTCTGGCCTTGTCTGTCTGTCTGACCGTAGTGGGAACTCTGGCCTTGCCTATCTGTCTGACTACAGCCTGATTCCTGATCCAGCCTCCCAGACTGTCTATAATAAGAGCTTGATTTCTGTTGATTTGTCTGGTTAAAGCGAGAGTCTTGTCCAAGTGTTTCAGATTGTTGTGCAAACCTTTCAGATTGACCATAATGAGAATCCTGAACTGGTTTTTCACACTGATTTAAGGCAAAGATATGCCCCTGCCATTTAGCCTGGCCACTGCTAGATGTGTGACTCACGCTTTCACCGGAGCTGGAATCTTGACTTTGTCTTTCTGAGTGATCAAGGCTGCAATCCTTGTCGTGTCTCTCAGGCTGACCATAGTGAGAGTCCCTATCTTGTCTCTCAGACTGACTGTGGTGGGAGTTCTGCCTTTCTTCCTCGTGCCTCTGTCTGTGTTGTCTACCTGTGTTACCTGGGAACTTATGGTCTCGTGCTCCCTCCTGCCCCCTTTCTTGCTGGGAGGTCCTACCTCCACGTGACTTATTGTCTAGCTTACGATGGCAGGCTTGGACTAACTGGAACACCAACAAGAGGTACTCATGAAAATCAACATGTCCATCCCGGTCTCGATCTAAGAGGTCCAAGATGGTTTCCACAGTCTCTGGGTCATTTGGCCTCTGTGAGAAGACAAAACAAAGAGCAAAATCAGATGCTGTCCTGTGTATACTAAGATGTGTATCAGTGTTCATGACCCAATCCATTCGATGCTGCATGTACCTCCCTAGGTTGAGAAACCATTAATCTGAAGTGGTGTGGACTTGGCGCTAGTCTTTAATCAGCTGGCTCTCAGAACCCTGCTGGATCAATGGGAGCATGACCATAGGGAGTAGATACACTTATTTAAAATCAGCTCCATTAGTAATTAATTTGATTCATTTCAAAGTTATCCCATTCCATCCCAGGCTATATTCTAGTTGTTTACCTCCTTTTTTTTTCTCACTGCCTGTGAGATCCTAAAAGGAGAGGAAGCTGACTTTATTCATGTTTTTATCCCTTGTGCCTAGGGGCATAGAGCAGGTGCTCAGTGACTCTTTATTGATTTGAATGAATGAATACCTGAGAAGATGTGTGGGTAGCACTAAAATGTAGAACTCAAGGTATGAATCTCAGGTTTTCTTCTGAGAAATGATTCCCTGTTACCTTGAAGTTTGTACTCCCTCCTGTTCAAACTCAGATACAAGGGGTGTGTGTGTGTGTGTGTGTGTGTGCGCGTGTGTGTGCGCGCGTGTGTGTGCGCGTGTGTACACTGGGAGAGAATTACTAAGAAGCTGCCTGAAAACTTTTTTTGTTGCAGGGTAAAGCATGACCAAATAAAGCAAAACATCCAATCCTGGGTCGGGGTCAGAGCCATTCACACATGATTCCATGGGGCTATGTGTCTGTGTATCTTACCCGAAGGATGTCTCCAAACTCAGCGAAGAGCAGTTGCTTCAACTCCTCCTTGCATAATAAGGCATGGTCCCCATTCTCTTTGGCGTATTTGTGGAACACCTCTACCACATTGAGTATGCTATTCAGGAGTTGAGCCATTTTGACAAATACAGGTGAACCTAAAAGAAGAAACAAGATTTCTCCTGCCCTTGGATAATGACCAAGAGACAGCATTACCAGAGGGAAAGTGACCCCTCTGAATCTGGAAAAAAGTTTAAGAAGTGAGAGAACCTTTCCTTGCCCTGACTCACAGTCAGGGACCAAATATCATTGCTATGGTGGGAGAAGGTGCAAACTTAGTTCCTCTGCTATAAATATAAGGAGGCAATTTCTTAAAAATCAAAAAATGCATGGTAGGTATTTTACTTATCCCATCCTCTACTCCGGTTAGGACTTGCTTGATTGAAACTCTCAGAACAAAAGGAAGGGAGGACGGGAAGCTCAACAGAGGCAGGGCTGGAAGCCAGCATAGTAGGCCATAGCAAACTGAAGCGGGCACTAAATAGATCCCACTGAACAGCTTTTAGCCTTGTAACAAGCCTTCCTCAAGCAAGGAAGAGGGATGAAAGCCTCTCTACATGGTCTAAGAAAGCTTTCTGGTAGGCTAAATGCCAGCAAATACCTCTGGCCTGGATGATTTTGGGACATGCTTATACAATGAAAATAATGACTATAAAAGCTGTCACAGATAAAAATAACAAGTGGATACATAGTCAAATTAAGGGGACAGATTATAGGAGGTATATATAATCAGTTAGGTCCACATTGGCCATGCTGAGAGAGGTGGGTCTTTTGGGATCTGGATCTTAATTACGTTTTTTTCCTGCGGCATGAAAAATCCAGTTAGTGGGTATATAGGCCTCCAAACTGAAGCCCTATCTGCAGAGCACACTGAACTGCCAAAAGCATACAGTGATGTCTGTAAGAATAAGAGATGAATAATAGATCACTTGGGACAAGCTGAGCTTGTTGCTGCAATTCATCGCAATGAGACTTGAGCAATCCTGGGCCCATGGTCCAGGGCCTTGGCCCTAAACTATTCGGTCTTTCCTAACTTGCACAAAAAGTAAATGCTCCACTATGGGAAACGAAGCTATTCATCAATCGTTCTAGCCCTCAGTTTTGAGATACCTGAGACGCATTGAAGCGAAGGCACTTGCATTTCACAGGCAAAGAAGTAGTCAACCCCAGCTATCATCGTATTCTCAGATAGAGCCAGAAAAAGGAAGCAGAAGGTACCCAAGTCTATTACCCACAGGAATTAGCCTCAGACCTCCCCAGCCTAGTGTATTATGTGACTCTCGAGAGTGCTGTAGATACTACCATTGCTCCCCTGTGCATGTCTTACCTGCTTGCGGAGGAAGGAGCAGAAGATTCAGGAGTCAGAGAGGATACTGGAGACCTGAAAACTCATCCTATTTATAGGGGTTTTAATTATCCTACCAGGCCATCCTAGGAGACACCCATTCTGTGGCAAAGCCTGAATCACTCTGGTCCCAGCCCAGTTCAGCCCAACTTGACCTCTCCCTCTGCAAACCGTTTGGTTTATTTACTTCCCCCACTTGCTCATGAACCTGTTTGTCACTAGAGTAGGTGATATTATTTAAGTTCCAGGCCCATTTAATTAGAAGAATGTGTGTGTGTGTGTGTGTGTGTGTGTGTGTGTGTGTGTGTGTATTTGTGCTGTGAGGGTCCCAAAAGACAGAGGTGTTGGCTGAGTTCATCCTTAATATGTCACTTGCCAATGCTAATAGAGGGCAACAGTCAACTTGTACTGAAGAAGGATATCTATATGGTCATTTACAAACATATGTCAAAGTTGGAACTAGAGAGTCTATTTATTTGGCCAGAATATAGTTCCTGGAAAACGTTTCTCTTAGACTAATCTTTTTCTTGTGCCAGTAGATATTTGGATATCAATCTGTTAACCTATTTTGAATTACTATTATTTTTAATTTAATAGCTCCACGGGCTATTTGGGAGAAGTCGATACATGGTCAGTTTTGGGAATGAGGGGCGCTGATGGTGGAAATTCTACCACTTAAGGCTTCTAAGACTTAATACTAAAAAGTTTGAGTTGAGGGACAACATGGAAGTTTATAACATCTGTGAGACAGAAATGTTGCTAGAGACTCGGACATCTGTTCATTTCCCATCTCCATGCCTTTGGATTCCAGAATAATGTCTTAAGCATGGGAGATTCTTAGTAAATATTTTTGGGGTAAATGAATTATTGGATTATGGAAGCACTGGAGAGTCTTATGTAAGGTGCAAAAAATTGTATACTCACCTGTATTTCTACGTTTGTCTCACATCTAGATCCCTGTTTGGACCTTTTCCTATGTATCCACCAACCAATAGGTTATTGGTAATAGCACTTGCTATTACTTAGTATGTGTTCAGGATTCTGCAAGGGAATCACAACAGCGTAGAAAGATTTTACTTCAGTTGGAATAAAGAAGCTTCACATAGAAAAATATTTTGAACTCCAGGGATAGTACATGCTAAGTGCTGAGTATTAGAAACCTAGGTGCCTGTGGTGTCCTCATGGCTGGGCCTGGATATCCCTTAGGAGGTGAGTTTCATGTTATTCCTGAAAGGATTCAGGTGGGCAAAGAAGAAAGCAAAGAACTTCTGAGTGGGGAGAAGGGAAAAATCAAAGGTACTAAGGTGAGAGTTTATATTTTGTGTTTGGATTCAAGTGAGCTGGTAAGTCTGGCTTGAGCAAAGGGATTCAGAAGAGTAGACTGAGAAAATTTTGGAACTGAAAGGGAAATCTAGTCTTAGCCTCTTAATTTTATAGATGAGGAAACTGCAATTCATCTAGATTGAGTGTATTTGCCAAGGGTTTCACCACTGTGACTGAAGCCACGCCTGGTATATTTGTTTCCTCACTCTAGCACAATATGCTTTCTGAGATATTCTCTGAGGCAGATATGGGGCCTACTTTAGGGCTTATTTTAATGAGAAAGGAGAAGCAGGGTTTTGGTCAGGAAAAATGACATAATCAAAGCATCGTTCAGAGAAGAATCTAATGGCTCTGTTGTGGGTGGTCAGATGTCTCAGTTTGTCTTGGACCAAGGAGTTTCCCAGGATATGAGATTTTCAGTGGGATAGTTCTGGGCAATCTGGACTGAGCTGGTCCCCCTAAACTGTGGTGTACAAGAGGAATTTGAAAGAGGAGTACTAAGCAGTGAGATCAGTTAGGAGTTTACTATATGGCCCGGGTGAGAAGTGACAAGGGCTTTGACCTGGATACTGTAGTGCAAAACTATAGGAAGGCAGATGGATAATAGCAGAAGTAAAGGGATGGGGTTTGGGGACAGATTAGATGAGGGACAGGGAAGATGGGAACATTAGGTGAGATTCCAAGTCTTTATGTCTAGATAACTAGGAGAACTGTGGTACACTGAAGAAATGTAACCTCTAAAGGGTGACTCATGGGCCTAAGATCCAGTGCTTCTATTGGCATTTCCCAGGCCCGCTGCCTTTTGTAGTCTTGTTATCCTCCCTCCAGCTAGCATCCTTGGCTGTCTGGGGTCTCCCAGCACGGGTCAGGACTTTCTTAAGTCTGTTCGTAAATTCTGAGAGCTGGGTCACATTAAGGTTCTCTTCCTACTTTTGCATCTCTACTTAGTGCTCTTCAGTTATGTCTCTTCTCACCTGTTAGAATAAAAGACCTAGAGAAGATTTGGTTGTCCCAGAGGCAGATAAGAGGAGTGGGGGTGGAATGGGCCAGGGTGAAGACAATAGCCATCATGACACAGAACAACAATGCTGTGTCCCCCTTTCTCTTGGCATGTTCCACGGTTCCCTAGCAACTGTTTCTTTTGGTTAGATGGGCAATTCTCTTTGTTTGATGCTGCAGTGAGAGAAAGATTATGTTCTTAAGTGTAGGATCTGCTGTGTGTGCATTCATTTAACACTTAATACACTCTGACAGAATGGGCAGAGAACTGTATTGATCAGCCAGTCAGCTAATCAATTTGTGAGCATACAGAGGGCAACTTTTGTGGGCACTGAGATAAAATGTAGTCTTAGTCCTTAAAAACTTTGTGTCACTGAGATTGAAAGTTCAGTCTCCCTGAGGTACACAAGATCCTTCTCTGTGGTTCAAATTGCTTCACAGGTATTGCTATCATCGATAGGGTAGAAAGGGGTTGACTAGAGGGAAGAATGGGGAAGCCACAGGGGCTAGAAATAAAACACATTTGAAGGAAGCACCAAATGTGACCTTTGTTTCTTTGTCTGTAAAAGGAGAGGGTTGGAGCTTTCTTTTGGCATTGGCATTCTGAGATTCTGTGATGCCAGTCTTAAGGTTGACAGTGGCTTTAGGGGTAATATTTAAACATGGCTCTCTTCAGAAATTCAATAAAGGCCTCAGAACTTCGTGCTTCTCAGTCTTTCTCTGTGGAAAATGGAGAAGGCAATTATGGGTGTTCTGTTTCTCATTAACATTTATAAATTGCATGAGGATGTACCCTATTTTTAAAAATTATTTTTCAATGTGTTTTGCTGCTTTAAAAGCAGTCATGTTGTAGTGTGAACTTTGGTCTCAAAGGTAAGATGCTTTTAAGCTACAATTTATTGAAGTCTTAATGTGTGCTATGCTCTGCATTAAGCATTTTATATATATTATCTCCTTAAAATAATTTCAATTTTTATTGCATATTCCATGGGTATATGTGAAGGTTTATTACATGGGCATACTGCTTGGTGTTGAGCTTTGGGATATGAATGATCCCACTGCCCAGATAGTGAGAATAGTACCCAATGGTTTTTCAGCCTTTTCTCCCCTTCTTCCCCCTTCTAGTAGTCCCCAGTGTCTATTGTTGTCATCATTAGGTCCCTGAGTACCCAAAGTTTAGCTTCCACTTATAAGTGAGAATATGTGGTGTTTGGTTTTCTGCTCCTGTGTTAATTTGCTTAGGATAATGGCCTCCAGCTGCATCCTGTGCACCTGACAAAGTCTAATATTCCAAATCTATAAGGAACTTATTATCTTGTTTAATTCCCACAACAACTCCATGAGACAGAGAATATTGTTTTCATTTTTTCAAACAAGGACACTGGGGCTCAGAGAAGAATAAATAACTCGCTCAAGGACACACAGCCTGCATCTGGTTGAGCTGAGGTTTGAACCCATGTCTTCCTGATTCCAAAGCCCTTGTTTGCAACCCCTATGTTATGTTGCCTCTTCTAGAACAGGACTGGCGATTACTCCCTCACCAATGAGAGAAATAACTTTCCACATAGACCGAAGTGAGTAAGACCAAAGTAACTTCCTTATGACACTCTATGAAGGAGTCTGACCTTAAAATGAGAATCTCCTGACCCTTAACCAATCAAACATATATTATTTTCCTATGCTTCTCCAGAACTTAGATGGCCCCAATACTAATGGATCTTGTCATCTATTTGGGGAGATAAGACAGACGCTTCTATTTAC